TGTCTTATTTCATTTTCCTTTTTTTCCAACTACATATATATATATATATATATATATACATATGTATATAGACAGACTCTTGAGCGTGATTTTTTGGGGAACAGTTGATTTTATGTAAACGTGTGCGTAATACGAGAGACCAACCATATCTTGCTTTCTTGTATGCGTATAACAGCCTTAACGATACAAATGAAGGGGGCAAGAAATGACAACTGGGAAAAACTTCTAGGCAAAGATTGGCACAGGATTGTCTGTCGGAATGGCCCGGCCCGAGCAAAGAAGCTCTACTGGTTAAATAGTAAAGCAACATTAGCATGAATTAGCAATAAGGCGCGTAAACGTCAGATCTATAATATCAACAAAGACGGTTATCAAAGATACGCTCGAGTGAAAGCAGGGCTTACTTCCCTATAAGCTATTATTGCTACCATAAATATTGAAACGATGAAGTTTTTAAGACCGCTGATTTTTTAGTCGTTGTGAGCAAACACCTCATCATGATTTTAAAAATGCAACTTATTATAGTTGTCTATAATTTCAAGCTTTTTTTTTTGTTCGGAGTTTTCATTGCCAGTAATACTGCTAAAGCGGTAGTGCTAGGTAGCGGCACATAGGCCGTTTGAAATATAAAGCGGGACTAAATATAAAAAAAAACTAAAATAATAATAGTAAACCAAATGTGCCATGCGACATAACGATACGATTTCAGGCTGTTTACTTATCGTACGAATGGTTTTTATGTTATGTTTTTAGTCCTTAGCTGCCTAGACGTTATTACGTTTCTCGTATAAACACGTCATGTCTCCCTCACTCCATTACTAGTCAAGCCGCTCAAACCAAAACCATCGAAAACCCCCGCTAGATCAGCCAACTGACCGCCCTTTCTTTCTCTTACGCCCTCCAGCAGGAGAGGAGTACAGCAATTTCATCTCACACCTCATTTGTCTTCACCTTGGTGCACTTCTGCACCTAACCCTTTTTTATGTCGTTTGAACTTTCGTTCACGCATACGTCAGTTTATACAAAACAGCCGAAGTCGAATATTTAAGGCAACACAACCACAAAACCATAGTATTTCTTGATTTTCAGCTGCCGTATCATTGTCATCTGATTCTATTCTATTTCGACCGTCCTCCCAGAGTCTCAGGAAGCGCTGTCCGATGACGATGTTACAGCTGCTATAGCTGACGCTGACATAGATGACGATGCCAAATTACTACCTGTGTTTTCAACCGGCCCCGCCATAGCTTCACGACGAATCGGGTACCCGCAAGGATGCCTTATGTAGTTGTCGCGTCCTACGACGAGCATCGGCCAATGTATATTCATCCTATTACATGACATTACAGACGATTCCCTAGCTCCCTGTACGTGCCTATATCGGACCGACAAACAGGCGTTCAGTTCATATCATCGGTTGTTATTGGTACATCGGTCGCTATAAGGACACAAAGTAGGCGGTCGAGAAATCTGCTCGGGGTGACGGTATTCGTATCTTACGACAACACCAGGATAACTAAGCATAAAGCCATAGCGATTTCAGCTTCGACGTATGGGGCTCAACGAAGCCCCGCAAGTGTAACACGTCGAAGGTACCGAAAAGTATCATCACCATAATGAAGACCTTGAGGCAATGTGCAAGCGACCAAGCGGGTGAACGTCCGTCGTGACAATTAAGAAAGTGATGTGTGATGAACAGGAAAAGCGAGCTTTGATACCACCCCCATGAAAGATGGGTTTCATATGATTGGCAGGATGTCAAATAATTAATTTAACATTCTACTATTAAAAAAAATGTACCGATTTGATTGTAGTAGCCAATACTCAATTCAGTAGGTTCAATTAATTTTTAGATAGCTATACGATGTTCCCGATTAACATCGTTCCAGTAACCCATCTACATGCTTGAGCAGCTAATTTACCCAATAAAATTTTTAATTAATTAACAAACTTCTAGTAAATAATTGGCTAGCGCTTAATAATTATCTCAGTCAAAGCTATCAAAACATTGACGGTTCGAGTGCAACTTTTCGTTATATTGTCATGTTCACATTATCATTCAGCTCAACTTACACGGCTGCGTTGTAATTTCGAACTTATTCCGGATAAGTTCCTTTGAATAAGCTTGCACTTTTATCGCTCGCGATCTGACCCAGATCTGTTCAGTATACGAGGATGCAGTTGTCAAATGATATCTGAAAAATGTTGCCAGGTACATTTTATAGAATAGAAGTTTATCTTGTGCTTGGCAAAGTTATAGCAGTAATAATGTAGATAGGTTGAAATAGGGTTAGAATTAATATAAGCTTCGGCATTGGATACGCAGTTTGCTCGTTCAGCTCTATCCATGATCTATAGTATGAAACACATAAGACGGCATAAACGTAGCTCAAATATAAGTTAATGATTGAAACGAACGTTTCTCTTCCGCTCTAATGATATAGAGCAAAATCCTTACCGAAAAAAAACCTTACCGAAGCAAAGGGTCTGTCTTTGACCGTAATGTTAAGATGCTTATATAGATAAGCAATATCACCTAGATATTTCAAAGCTGTTGAAGACATGGAGCGAGCGTAGATCCTCCATGTTCGTGTATATGCTAAAATCAGGATCCGTCCTGGGCTGTTTTCATAATGCACAGATCCGTTTTATAATGTATCGATCGTGCAGGCGCATCCGTACGCTATTTTACTACGACGCATCATCAGAGCCATCTAGAACACCTGTCCCCATTGAGACGCAGACATCATAAAATTCAATGAAGCGCGGTGATCTCTGCTCAACCTCAATTTCAACTTACTTTATCTTCGTCCTTCTAACATTTGCAACGTTTGTGTGCAAATCGTTTAAATAATAATTACTCTGCAATCTATAGAGGGGCCGAATGTCCGGTAATGTGTGGCTGGTTCCAAATGCTGCAGAGCAGATGATCTAGCATCCCACGCATCGCAGTGGTGTCTAGCGCTTGTAAACGCGTAACATCGCAGCTGAAATCTCACCGATGACAGATGAGAACATTCGTTCCCAATTTGGACAGCTGCATGATGATTTCAACCGCACAATATTCAACTTCAGTAGCTCTGACTTCGGTAGACTTCGTACAGTAACAGACGCCTAAACTACGTGAAGCATTCCTAATCATTGCAGAATGATCATCACGACCTGTCGCTCCCGAACGCCTTGGTTCAAGTGAAAACCTTTTCTCCGCCGTGCACGTGACGTTTTCCACAACTGTTAAATGTATGCCGAAAGTATTTAGACGGATGAACTACAAATACTTTTGATTTTACCCTATGCGTGCATGTGTATGCGTGCGTACATACAATGATAGTTGTTACTTCGGTCGACTGGGCAATACTGATTATGTTATTTGCTAAAAACCGAACACAATCAATTAGCAGATCAAGGGTTCATGCGCAACCCACAGGTTCATATATAGAGATTGTTCTGCTTTCAACACTTCGTACGCGGATCACACGGCTAAAGCTTGTAAACGCTACGAGAAATAAAGTACACATAAAAAACTAGTTTGATATAGACTGTAGCGGTGCTCTGCGTAATCTTGATTTACGCTATACGACGCGATATGCATAGTGCGGCACTGTGCGAGATCTTCATGGGGCAGATATTATTTCTTCATTGTTTAAGCGAGCACCATCTGCTGCAGATTTCTCACAGGTTATGATCTTCAGTCGCGATAGCGGCGACGCCAGTGGCAGTGAAGCCAGTACAGGAGCGTTCGCTTATGCCTGTGTAAATCTGCAGGTTTACGTGTGTGAAAAGGACGAGATACAGCAGGGCACCGATGTCTCTCGGTGGGACCCTATTTCGAACGGCGGGGGCATAACCAATAAAGAGATGTTTATGCGGCGAGGCAGAGAGGTTGAGGAAGACAGAACAGCGTGGCTTTACAGCATTACAGGACTATAGAACTGCTGCGCGACGTAGGTAAGAATGAGTGAGGACATTGACGTACGACATAGAAATTTAGCCCCCTTCCCACATACACACACACACACACACTATTACAACTCTTGCTACTACTATTATTCATTCCCAACAAATTTTGAGCGTTCAAGTTCAGTTTCTTAGCTAGAGGAGAGCAAGGTAATAGCAGATAGCTAGGTTGCAATAGAACGGAAGAAAAAGGCTTCGTTCGGCCAGCAATACGAGGACTGCGCTTGTAGCCCTCGAACAGGGACGATCTGGCCTGCTCGTTCGAAGCAAGTCCGATCGCTCGAAGGAACGGCCGCCGATTGAGGCACAACTACGACTATAGCAACAGGAAGAGTAACAGAAATGATACCCAGTGAACGGGCCTTTCCTCAGTAAAGGGGACGAGCGCCAGGTGCTTTGTCTTAGTGCCGTGTCTCGGGCGAGGTGCTGTGATGAAGCAAGACGGCGAAATTGCCAGCGGGTGAAGAGTTAGTGAGGAACGATGACGCCAAGTGACGCACTTCGGTATCGAGACACACCGTACGACCCGTAAAAGACCAACCAGCACATGCAATATGTCGGTAGCTAGCTGCTAGAGGGGTACTGCGATACAGATTATTAGATAAACTTCGCCTGTACGTAAAGTGTAACAACAAGAGGCGAAGAACACAGACTCTCAAAGCTTGTATGAGAGAAACGAACCGCTAAGGCTACCCCCCCCCCCCCCCCCCACACACACAACCTTTATATGGAGACGCTTGTGTTAGGGTTTTGTTTTTTGTCTATATTGATTAAGTAGTCTTGGATATTAAACAGTATTTAGAAGTACGTTGTCTGATAAATTCGCTACGAAGCTAATACCTGCAGCTTTTTATTAATTAGTTAAGGCTAAGGCTTTGGTGACGGTATATGTGACAGCAATGACTGCATTACTAGAGAAC